TGAAACAGACCTAACCTGGTGGAACCACAGAATAACACAATAGTTCCCACAGGTGTCTTACTATGGCTTAACTGCTCAGATTAGCCACTTGCCAATTGATGAGCCTTTTGGAAAGAGGTGGAGAAAACAAAGAGAGCATCTGTACAGGCCAAAGTTCAGGCATCAGAGTTGAAGTCCCCAGGAAGTTAAGAAAACAGCCTGAAAACAACGACCACTAATGATGTGTTAGCACAGGGAGGGCTTGACACTAAGAATGAACTTCCTCTGTTTCATACTTTACATCCAGCTGTTAAAACCATGGGACTTGCCCAGAAGTAGGATAACATAAATGTGCGTTGACTTTCTACATACCCACAAACATATCTATAAATTAGAGAATAATATTACAAAACCAAAACCAAACAATGCTACAATTCCCATTTATTCTGTTTCTAAGCCTTAACCAGAAATTCTCCTGTGTTCATTTCATTTGACTAAGAAATATGTGAAAGAACAGTTATTTAAAGTGATATATTTAATATAAATAACTGTGGAAACCAAAGGAATAACTTAATACAAATCAAGAGAGGATTAAACAAAATAAACATTTAAATAGAATTGTGTCAATAATCAAGTGATTATGTTGAACCCATGCTAAAATTAAAATTATATATCTAATTTATATTTACATTTATTATGTATATCATATCAATATAAATATATTGAAAAGTATAAAAGCAAATGAGTTTTCTTCTACTTAAATATTTCTAATAGGTCAAGGCCATGAATATTATTAAAAGGACGTATCCATTTTATTTAATTTCTATGATGTTGTGCCAATCTGGATTTCATTATACATAAAAACTCCAATCAAAGTACTTTTACAATCAAAGTATTGATTGTAAAAGGACAAATACCAGTTACTGAGAACTGGCAGTTTTTGACTCAAAATAACAACCTGGCAAAACCAGGTGATTAGTAATAAAAAGAAATGAATTCATTGTGTATTCTCTGAACTAACTTCCCAGATCGGGCTGTTAGATTTTCTGGGGGACAATATAAACATAAACTAACATTTAACTCTAATGTCTTATAGATTTTTTCAGTTCTTTTATGAACCACATAAATTCTGAGTTTCCAGAAGGTCATGAACTCCAAAGATCATCATGAGTATCAAATAGGCAAACCTATTGAAGGTACCTGAGAGAAATGGATCACCTAAGCAATGGTGCCAGGGTACCTTTAGTGAGATCTGGCTCTGACCCAAAGATTTCAGCAGTTATATAGCTATCTATCTATGTATCTATTTATCTAGATCCATATAGATAAATCTATGAAATAGATATGTCTATCTCTACCTAGATAGATAGGTGTAACTAGATAAGTAGGTAGGTAGGTAGATAGATAGATAGATAGTTAGATGAATAGATACTAGGTAGATAGATCTATCTGTGAGGAAGTCCAGGACATAGGGCCCCTAAACAAATGAGTAAATCAGATAAAACTACACTCCAGCACTTTGGAGACATAAAGGCATTTTAGTAAAGCAAAGATATTCATACTTTGGCTAGGGATAAAGGTTACAGGAAATGGAATTGTTATTAGTTTCAAAGGCAGAAAGATGTCATTGTAAAATGGAGGACTCAAATGGTTTTTCTTTCTTGCTATTGTTTCAAACACATTTGTTTAATGTTTTTTATTGTGAAAATACAGTACAAAGGGGTTACAATTACATGGGAAAGGTAATGAGTACATTTCTTATCAAGCATTGTTGCCTCCTTTGTTTCCCATTCCCATCCCTTCCCATCATCTCCTCCCCCCCATCATCCCCGTGTCAAAGTTGTAAAGTTCATTTTTCAGCACACTGATTTGTACATCTCATTGTTGCAATGGGTCCACCTGTATCCCTATTTAAACAATTAGTTTTTTCCCTTCCCCTCCCCAAATTATACCAACATTAAATACAGTGAAAACAGGGGTTATACTGTGGGGGAAGGCCATACCAAGCAACAAAACAATCACCTTATAAATATGTTAGAAATAATCGCAAGAAAGAAAAAAAAACATTTGAATCCTTATCTTGGGGTTCATTTCGCCTAACATCAACTTCTCTGACCATTATTGCTTGTCTCAGACATATACTAGTTATTGCAAATAAGGGAAACCATGGGACCTATGCTTCTTTGGGCCAGGCTTACTTCACTTAAATTATTTTTTGTAAGATGATTTCTTTGTTGCTTTGTATGTCCCTCCCCATGGTAAAACCCCTGCTTTCACTGTATTTGATGTTGGTATAATTTGGGTAGGAGAAGGGAAAAAACAAATTGTTTAAATAGGGATACAGATGGACTCATTGCAACTATGAGATGTACAAGTCGTTATGTCGAAAAAAGAACTTTACAACTTTGGTGAGGGGGGGAATGGGAAGGGGAAACAAAAGAGGAGGCAACAATGCTTGATAAGAAATGTACTCATTACTTTGCTCATGTAATTGTAACCCCTCTGTACGGTATTTTCACATAAAAAAAGCATAAACCAGAACTGTTATCTTTTTCACTCATCACCGAATTGATGCAAGGCCTCATGCTTTCTAGGCAGAACTTGATTGCTTGATCCATACCCCTAGCCATTTTTGTTTTCATTATTAATTGAATAGTATAATCAACACAGTTTTGACCCAGTCTACCTTGCCCATGATCAACCTTTTTTTTTTTTTTTACGAATCACAGGCATGTACCACAATAACCAACATTTTATTGGTTGAGATACCTCCCAAACTTTTATACGTTTGCCCAAGCTGAGTTCAAATAATGATTCTTCCAATCTCTGGCTCCTAAGCTACAATTACAAGTATGAGTCATTACTTCCCACTTATAATACTAGTAGAAATTCAGATAAATGTATGAATAGCTGAAAGGGATTAGCCATACTTTGAAGAGTATGGAAGAAGGAATTATTGCAAACATAAAAATTTACAGGTATTCTTTGAGGATTCACCCTCGCTTTCCCCCAGGAAGATTATCTTCATGACCAAAGAGTACCAAATTCAGAAGCAATAAAAATTTCATTGCCAAATACATTTCAGATTCTATTACCTTGCACAACATGAGGTACTTATTAGATGCTTAATGAATATTCTGAACTATTCACTGGTACTTGTCATCTTTGTCACACTTGAAAAGCTATCTCCTCTGTTCTCCTGTCAACATAAACCCATCTTCAGAGACAAAAGTAACTCATTACATAAGTCTAAGAACTTTCACTCCTCCGATCTTGGTATTATTTTACCTGGCACCACTGTGAGAAATCCCATGAGATGAAAACCAGCCTTTAAATATATTGCATTTGACTTCTGAGGCAATTCCAAAATGTTAATATTATTTTTGACTTCTGCTTCATAAAACTGCTGATTTCATTTTGATTTTTTTTCATTTTGTGGGTGTTATAGGCTGAAAGGAATGTATGGATTTGAAAGCAAAAACCTATCTCACTGGTACTTGGAAGGATAATGATCCTTTGTAAAAATCAGATAGTTCATATGAAACTAGACAACCCATTGTTAAATCTATCATAAATCTAAACATGAGTATTTGCAGAGGTTTTTGATGTCATTGCAGATGTTGCATTTCACCAGTTTTGTTTGGGTTTTGTTTTCTGATGTTGTTACTTATTTTTATTCAGGCACTAAGTGTGAATTAATGGCTGGTCTCTGGTAGTATCCTTGCCTTCACTGTAGTTCTTTTTCCCTGAGCATTCTCAAACCTCTGGCATGACACATTTCTGAGTTGATCTTCCTTTCTGTCCATTAATGGATATCCCAGTACTAGTGATATTTTTTCCTATGGAGAAGCAATTGGTCATCTTTTGATAGTTGACTTAGGAAACTCCTGATGATACAAAGCCTATGACTAGTGCATTGTCACAAGCATTATGAGCTTATGGTTTATAGATTAGGCATAATGAGCAAAATTCTACCATAATTATTTATTAAAGATAACTGTAGTTCTTCTGGCTTGCTTGGATCACTAGAAATTAAGAGCATTGTGTGCCTGCCTGGCCTGGTGGTGAACACATGTAATTCCAGCACAAAGAAGGCAGACCCTGCAAAATCCAGAGTCGGAGGCCAGCCTAGGTTTCATATTGAATATAAGCCAGTCTTAGCTACATAGTGAAACCTCTTTCTCAAATAACAAAAAGCAAGAGTGAAGTGTGCCTACACTTGGGTGATTTGTGTGTCTGAAATAAAGGGTATACACTAAATACATGATTCAGGCTACTTGTTACCATCTAGTTATGGTGTCAATTTTTTTTTGGTTGGTCATGGGGCTTTAACTCTGGGCCTGGAGTGCTGTCCCTCAAATCTTCAGCTCAAGGCTAATGCTCTACCACTTTTCTGGTAGTTTATTGGAGATAAGAGTCTCATGGACTTTCCTGCCTAGGCTGGCTTTGAACCATGATCCTCAGATCTCAGCCTCTTGAATAGCTAGGATTATAGGCGTGAGCCACCGGCACCCAGTGATGGTTACCTTGCAGTTACCTTTTGCAACCCAGTAAGATCAAAAGACAGAGAAGGTATGGAAACTGCAATGTTTGGAATTCAGTTGTTGGATGAAAGTTATACCAGGCCAGATCATATTGCCTCAGAGAGGAATCATTCTTTAACAATGTTTTTATTCTTCTGGTCAAAAGGCTTCTTAAGTTCTGTAAGTGATGACATCATTTAATATAGAATATACAGAAGGCAAGATCTCAAAATATTAGGAAAAACTTCACTTTCATTCTATATCTAATTTAGGCAATCCCACACTTTGAAATAATCCAGTTATATGAGTATGAGAATTAAAAAAAAACACAAACAAAACTCTTGTCTGTGTATATATTTTAAATTAAACTGGCTATATTCTGTCAATGAACAATTTTTACATTTAGCTTAAATAACTTAACTGTTTAACCCAGGAACTTATATTTAACTCAGTTGTACAAAAGTATTGATTTTTTTTCTCTTTATTTTATTCCTTTAGATATTTTTCTCCATCTGCATTGCATTCTGGGGCATAAGAAGCATGACACAACTTGCCTCCTGCCTTTGGAGATAACTTTGGTAGACACAAATCTTGTTTTAATCAGTTGTCTACAACTTCAACACACTATTGCTATGTATGGGAATGTGATAATCTCTGGAATGCTTATGGGAGCCGAGTTTTTAATCAACAATGAATGAACTTATTAAATCTTGCTTGTTTTCATATGTATTATTTTTCCATTAAAATTAAATTACTTCAAATACATGGATGCTATGTTCACTGATATCATTTATCATAAGTTTCAGAAGGGAGAGGAACATAATGGAAAAATGGGTCCAAGGAAAGAGGGCCAGATGAATGAAGAGGAGAAGTAGAGGTGAGTGCAGTCAAAAATTCACTGTTAAAAATAGACCTGAAGAACAATGGAATAGATTAGATGACACAGGAATAAAATCATATACATAGTTATCTGATATTTGATAAGGGAGCCTAAGATATATAGTGGGAAAAAATAGCTCCTTCAACAATTGGTGTTGGGAAAACTGGATCAATATGCCAAAGACTAAAAGTGGATCCAATTTGCCACCATCCATGTCACCATGGATCAAAGACCTCAATGTCAGATCTGAAACTTTGAAACAAGTGCAAGAGAGAGTAGGAGAAGCAGAATTTATAGATCTAGGTAGAAATTTCTTGAATAGAGTCCCAGGGGCACAGCAGATAGGAGAGAGATTTGACAAGTGGGACTACATCAAAAGAAAAAGTTGCTGCACAGCTAAGAAAACAGATACTAAACTAGAAAGACAGCCAACAAAGTGTGAAAAGATCTTTATCAGCATCATATCAAAAGCCTAATATTCAATATATACAAAGAACTCAAGAAACTAATCCTTCCCAACCTAATAAACCAATCACTAAATCGTCAAGGGAGCTAAGCAGAGACCTCTCAGAAGAAGAGATAAAAATGCCAAAAAAAACATATAAGGAAATGTTCATCATTCCTGATAATAAAGGAAATGCAAATCAAAACAACTCTGAGATTCTATCTCACCCCAGTGAGACTGGCCAACATTGTGAATTTGAACAACAAATGTTGGTGGAGATATGGAAACAAACGAACCCTATAGCACTGTTGGTGGGTTTGTAAACTAATACAACCACTCTGGACAGCAGTCTGGAGGCTTCTCAAAAAAACTAAACAAAGACCTTTCCTAGAATCCAGCCATACGACTTCTGGGCATCTACTCTGATCATCATAAGCCAGGATATGATAGAGACAGCTGCATGTTCATTGCCACACTATTCACAATAGTAAAGACACAGAAACAGCTCAGATGCTCCACAATAGATGAGTGGATCCAAAAATGAGGTACCTATAGACAGTGGAATTTTATACAGTCATTTGAAAGAATAAAATGATTTTATTTGCAGAGAAATAGATGGAACTAGAACAAATCATATTAAGTGAGATAAGTCAAGCTTAGAGAGACAAATGACATATATTTTCTCTGATATGCAGAAATAAGAGCTAAAATGCATTGGCATGTAATAAATTATACACCATTCTAGATATAGACAATGAAATATTCTTAGGAAACACAAGGTGTAACGCCTAAGTGCCTCTTCATATTTATATAAAATAATATACATATTGAATTTAACTCCAAGATACGGAAACAAGGAACTTAAAAAAAGATTTTGTTTTTAATGATTTTGGTCTTTACTTTGTATATGGTATATTCATGATGTATATATCTTTGCGGGTGGATACAGAACTCGAAGGAAAAGGGTGAAAAAAATACAGCAGTGGGAGCTCACTGGACATTGATGAAAGTGAACTATACGACTTGTGGATGGAAATGGGAGGGAAGGACTGAGCACTAGGGAACAGAAGACTATATGAAAGGAAATTGCTCATTACCTGACTCAAGGAATAGTAATCCCTTCATACATAACCTGTATAATAACAATAAAGTCAATTAATTTTAAAAATTAGGTGTATATCCTACAACATTAAGAAAAGTAAGGGAAGAGTTAAGTTGGGAGGGATGGGTGAGAATGTTGAAAGGGGTGACATTTATTAAGATTCATTGTACTTATAAATTACTTTGTTAAATGGCAACTTCTTTGTACAATTACTTAAAGATAATCTGAAAAAAAGCAAAAAAGAATAAACACTGTATTTAATTTTATTTTTCAACTTTTCCTACTTTGCTAAAATTATACTTAAATACAAATTTGTCATAACAATATGTCATAAGAGTCACCTCCTGGATTTGCCTTTTCCAACCATATAATATTAGGTGCCATATGACAAAAGTGACAATGAATGATACGTAACAGAATTACTTTAACAGGTTAATTTATAACATACATGCTTAATATAGCCTTTCAATTTATTTTAGCCATTTTAGGAGCATCAAGTAATTCTATGCTATTTAAAATTGTTACTGTGATATTAATATATTTCTCTAAATAAAACTGTCCAAGACCTCCTCTGTATATTGGTTTAGGGGGATTGTAAAAATGTACCACATGGAAGAAACTGACAATGTAAAACTCAGAAAGAAGTGGAGAGGAAAAATTCTTCCCTTCCTCCAGTATTTCTTACATTTGAGTAATAATTTTAGAAGTACAAATTACAAGTATTAAGCAAAATGATGCAATCCTTCACTAAATTTAATTAGCCAGGCCCTGATGGATCAGACTTTTAATCCTGGCTATTCAGAGGACTTAGATTGAGGATCACAGTTTGAAACCAGCCCAGGCAGTAAAGTCTATGGGAACCTTGTCTCCAATTAACCACTACAGAGCTAGAGCACTAGTTCCAGTGGTAGAGTGTCTGTGTTGGGCAAAATAGCTACAGAACAGTACCTGGGCCCTGAGTTCAAGCCCCAGATTGGCACACACATGAAAAAAATCCAACTTCAGGTGTTTAGGAAGGGATATTTTTGCAGGACTGAAGCATATTTATTTTTCAAACTGAAACAGCAGCAGCAGATTAAATTCTGCATGATGGAAAAATTATCAAATTATATCTCAAGCGTCAGAAGTGGGTTTGGCTTTACTTCATTCATATTTTTATACTTCATAATTAAACACAGCATTAGAGCAAATACTGAGGCTCATAATAAATATTGTATTTGACTTTGGTCCCTTACTACCAATACTACTGGACTCTGCATGTATGATGCATATTACTTCAGAGAGCCCTCTGCTGGCTTGAATTCGCTAAATTCTAAAGATCCAAATTATATATCCTAAAGATGTTTCAGCCCTTGAGTTACAACATTCAATTACAACAGAGGAAGAGAGTTTTAATAAATCAAATAGATTTTTAATATGCCAGAGTAATTTAATGGTATGTAATGGTTTCCCTGGGAATGATACATAAAGAAAAATGTATGCTTGGAGAAATTATATTGTCCTAAAATGAGCTTAAGAAGGGAAATAAGAAAAGATAAAAGATAAATTACATGGAAGTTCAGTTTTCATTGAGTAAACTCAAAATAACACATCTCATTTCTCTTTTAGCTTTCTTTCCTATGTAAATAGCTTTCTGCTTGAAATACAGATATTTTCAAGTTACAGATTCACAGTTTGAACAGGGGAAGATGGACATGCTGTCCTGAGTAGATTGCTTCAGACTTTGTGCATGAACAGAGCAATTTTATCTTCACCTTCCACCTTGCTAATTTTCCAGTCCAGTTTTCTCTTGCTTACCACTAATACATGATGACAGATCACATAATCATTAGCAATGTTACAAATTGATCTTGAGTGATACCATGTAATTTATTCTTGCTCTTGAACTGGAAAGACATTAATTCTCTTTCCTTCTTTCTGTCAAGGACAAAATACTAAAAACAACCCTCATCAACTATCCAGCATTTCTAATGGAAAGTAACAAACTGCCTCTGTAAATAATTGTGAAGATAGGCAGTTTTGCTCCTCTACCATAAGGACAAGAAAGAGCATTTATTTATTCAATAGTTCCCTTTCAGTATTATTTCATTTGGCTTCTAAAATCCTGTGGGTTAATCACTGTAAAACTGTATAGTCAGTGCTTAGGAAATGTTTTATGCTAAGTATACAATTAAAGCCCTTGGGGGATGCTGTTTTAAAATGTTGATTCACTTCAGAGGATTCGTTCAAATTGATGGAAACTTATTTTGCAACCTAGAGGACATTGATTATCTGTACATGCAAAAACAGCTGATGGAAGCTCCTGGTGAGTGGTTTGATGGACATTTACTGCAGCAATATTTTTCAATTTGTGAATGAATGCCACTGAATCACCTGCTACTTCCAAGACCCCATTAACTGAGCTTGATCTCAGAGAAGGATCTCATCATCTGCTTCATCACGCATTTGCTCAGGATATTATTCCCAGCTTAAAACACAAGAAGCCCTATAGTTGAGCAAAGTGAAACATGTTTATCTCCTAATATTTAGCAAGATATCTTACCACCTGCAAGCCTATCTGTGGATCCAAAGTTACCATTTAAGCCTGTGACTGCTGTTGTTTCCTTCTCTATTTATTTGGATTAGCAATTTTACTGAATACTTTCAACAATGTAATTGTTGACACTTTAAAGCTTTTTGAAATAACCTTTCCCAAATGGAAGACTTAATTGATAATACATCAGTCAAATAACTGAGTTTTCTTAAGATGTTTTGCTTGGTTGCAAAAAGTGGAGGCAGCGATTGTATTTAGACTCTCCTTCCAATGTAGCCACTTGCTGAATGAACACAGAACATGGCTGCGAAGTCATTAGGAACAGTCTCAAGGCTCAATCTGGTGGTTGGTTGTTTTGGGACCTTCATAGAAAAAAATCACCGCAGGTTCCTTGTTTTTCTCACTTTCTTGTAAGCAGTTCATTCATGTTGCGTCTATATTTTAAAGTAATAAAACCACATTTATAATAGGGTCAGATTTGTGTATTTCAATAATATAACTGCCAGTTAAGTTTCTTTTCACAGTTGTTCATTAGAATCATGTCAATAGGGACAATCATAGGAAGAAGATAAGGGAACGGAGAAATTGCAATGCAAATATTAAAATTTGCTTCATTGACTTCAGAATCCATAATAAATTACAAAATCTAATTCCTTTCCAGGCAAAATTTCCTGTCTAATAGCTACTGTCCTTTGCTTTATGTACTTTATTCTTTTATTTCCCTTTCTTTCACTTCCCCCTTCTTTCTACTATAATTTTAAAAGAAGTTTTATGTCAACTGTGTTCTACATTTTCTTGTGTGCTT